GTGTGTGGTGTGTGTGTAGGGGTATGTGGTGGGTATAGATGTGTGTGTGTGTAGGGGTATGTGGTGGGTACAGATGTGTGTGGTGTGTGTGTAGGCGTGTGTAGGTGTATGAGTGTGTAGGGTGTGTGTGTGTAGGTGTATGAGTGGAGGTGTGGTGTGTGGAGGTCTGTGTGGTGGATGTGGCGGCTGGTGCAGAGGGATGAGGCAGGTATTGCGGTACCCACCGGGGGGGTGAACCACAACAGCTCTGGGATGCCAGCGCCCTGGGTAGGCTGGAGTGGAGCTGACAGCAAACTAAACAAAGCTTCTCAACTCTCTCCACAAAGATCCCAGAGGCTGGGCCTCAGCGACCCCAGGACAGCAGGGCAGGCGGCTGGAGATGGTCTGGAGGCTCCCAGTGGGGTCTGATGGGCACTCAGGTTTTATAAACATCAGTTTATCCAACCTTCTTACATTCATCCATGGCACACAAGCAGTTTCCTAGGGCCCCAGAGTGGAAGGAGACGAGAGTCCTGCTCCCAGCCCATCGCCCTGTGCCTGGCTGGCCCAACCTACTCAGACCAGCATGGGGCCTGGCACATGGCACACGGCACACAGCGGGCACGTCAGGGAGTGAAGGAACTAAAACCTGGCACACAGCATGCACCACCACCTCGTCACACGACTTGTGAGTCCTGCTCGGAATCCCAGGGCGCGAACATGGGCTGCCCACAATTAGCACTTGATTCTGTTTCTTTTTTTTGAAATAGAGTCTCACTATGTTGCCCAGGCTGGAGTGCAGTGGTACAATCACAGCTCATGATAACTTCGAACTCCTGGCTTAAGTGATCCTCCCGCTTCAGCCTCCCGAGTAGCTGGGACTACAGGTACAGGCCACCACGCCTGGTTTCGATGCCGTTTTGTACTTTGCTGTTGGGAATCATGTTCTCACGGTTTAGTGGGTGAAGGCCTTACCACCAGCCAGATTCCAGCACCCCAGGAGCAGACATTTGCTCACAGTTCTAAGAAATCATACCCTGATTTGGCAGAAATGGCTTAAATCTCCCAGGCTATCAGAGAGAAGTGAGTGCTAACCGGTTTCTCAGCTTCTCTTTGCTGCCAGTGAGTTATGTGGTGTGTCTTCTCTCTGTGGGCGGGTTGCAAGCTGGTGTGGGAGCCAGGACACCTGGGCGCTAGTTCTAGTCATGCCTGAATTGCTGTGCACCCCTGGGGAAGTGAACCCTGTCTCTGGGCTACCGCGGGGGCGGACTGGCTGGGATTGCTGCCCACTGGGCGGTGAAGTCAACCGCTGACCACAAGAGGCCAGGTGGCCTGAGAGGAGAGCTCCTACGGCAGGCTCCCAGCATGTCAGTTCTGACGAATCCCGACACACTGGAAGCCTGAGGCTGAGGAGGGAGACACACACCTCCACTCACTCTCCTTTGCACTTAGGGCTTTTCACAGCTCTAAGGTTACCAGCGTGGCTTAGAAGCCAGGCAGAACAACACCTGTACTCTGGGCAGGGTATCTCCCAGTCCTCAGCCTCAGTTTTCTCATCTGTAAAGGAACCAGGACATGGCGGTACTGTAAAGCTTAAGTGCCGTAATACTATACTGTGTGCCAGGCACCATGCTGAGGACATCACGCTTGTGGTTTCACTTAACCTCTCCCTGGAACTCAGTTTTCTCATCTGTAAAATGGGATAACAACATACCCTAAGGGTTTGACTCGCTAAGAGAGGGGATGCAAAGTGCTTAGTGCAGGCCTGGCCCGGAGCACAGGCTCAGCAAATGATGGCTCACACCCGAAAAAGGACGAGGCTCTGACTGGTGTGTGCAGTAGATGTGACATGGGTGTGCAACGTGCTCTGCTTGGTGGCAGGTCACACACCACACATGGAAGGTACCGGATTCTCTTGCTGCCCACTGTGTGGTAGAGTCAACCTCTGTACATGAGAGGCCCAGGTGGCCAACCCGTGTCCCCTACCTTGCCCTGTTCTGACTTGGGAATGGCTCCTGAGATGCTGGGAGACCCAGGAGCGGAGACAGAGTGCCCTTGGGAGTCACGAGGACTTTACCCACAGTGGACTGGCCTGGACGGTTTCCACAACTCCTCCCTCCCTGCTTTCCTTCTTTTCTTGATATAGGGTCTCACTCCATTGCCCAGGCTGGAGTGCAGTAGTGCAATCTCAGCTCACTGCAACCTCCACCTCCTGGGCTCAAGAGATCCTCCCACCTCAGCCTCCTGAGTAGCTGGGACTAAAGGTGTGCGCCACCATGCCTGGCTAATTTTTAAATATTTTGTAGAGATGGGGTTTCACCATGTTGCTCAGGCTGGTCTTGAACTCCTGACCTCAAGTGATCTGCCCACCTCGGCCTCCCAAAGTGCTGGGATTCCAGGTGTGAGCCACTGTGCTCGGCTCTCCCTGCTTTCTGAGCTTCCATCCTGATCTTTTAGATTGCAAGTCAAGTCCCTCCTGTGCTCAAGACTTCCCTGCGGCCTGCACCTCACTTAGGATGCTATCCACAGGACTCCTAGCTGCCCTGAGGTCCCCTGGTCCCTGATATACCCCTAGAGCTTCATTTCCTACCCACAACCCCACACTGGCCTCAGAAGTCCCCATGCTGCCTCGAGCCTCCTCAGCCCCGGGTCCGCCACCCTCATTCCCCGGGACACCCAGGTCCTGCTGTTTCTGTCTCCCATAGGACCTGCTCTGTCTGCTCACTTGCTGGAGCAGAAATTCTCACACGGCCTGAAAGGCATCCAGATACACGTTGAAATGCATGAGAGAATGGTTCTTGGAGGTCTTGCCAAAGGGTGTGGGGGTCACCCACGAAGTGTGCTTGGTGCTGGACAAGTGGCTGTCACTCAACACACAGTCAAGGAACTAAACGGAATTCAAACAGCACCCTTGCATTTCTCCCCGCCGCTTTAGGGTCTGCTCTTCTATTCCTCTCTGCCCACACTCCTGCAAATCAAGTCTCCTGAGAGGCAGAGAGGAGTACTATGGAATGGGCTCTAACTCCACGTAAAGCTCCCTACATGCATCCTCTCACACTTCTATTATAAACATGTAGATGTGCTAGGATAAGCCCCAATGTACAGATTAAGAGACTGAGGGTCAGAAAGGCCAATCATTTGCTTAAGGACACATAGCTGGTAAGTGGCAGAGCTGGAATGTGGAGCCCGGGCCACTGGTCTCCAGTTTCAAGTCAGGCTCAGGTCTGAATCCTTGCTTGCGAGCTGGGGCAAATGGCCTGGCCTCTCTAGCGGTTTCCTCTGCTGTAAACTGGGAATAACCACATTAGCCAAAAAGAACTGACTTGAGGGCCAAATGAGGAAGGGCCTGTGGATGTGCTGGGCCAGTGCTTGGCCAACAACAGCACCCAGTGGGTGAGCATTCCCTCACCTCCTTCAGGAGGGCCCCTCTGCTTACCGCGCCAGTGCTCTGCTGCCGGGCGTCCAGGGCTCCAGCCAGGCCGTCTGTTGCTTGGGGGGCTTCGTATTTTACCCTGAAACAGAGACCACCCAGCCATCGGATACTGCCCTTACTGATGGCTGATGCAAGAACGGAGCAGGTTGGGGCACAGGTTGAGGGCTCCCAGCCTCCAGGCCTCCCTGCAAATGGTAGAAAAGGTCTCATTTCCTGCCTCTGGAAATTAGGATCTGATAAGTGACGAGGATCAGGATTGGCCAAACTCAGGAGACTGAGAAATAGCTCCAGTGCCGCTCGGCTCATGAGAATCCCCGCAGACCCTTTCTTGAGCAGGTCTTGTTTCCTATTTGATAGACTGTGGTTCTGTACGAGGTTGTATTTGAACGGGGGATTCCATTCTGCTGCTGAAACACATCTGTAGACTGCTGGGTGCAGTGCCATCTTATCTGGCACTGGCTCACCAGCACAAAGACGACCACCCATACTCTGCCCCCACCCGTCTCAGTAGCATGGGAGGTGGCTTCGTTACAGCTCTTCTAAATGTCCCCTGGGGGACGCCAGCCAGCCAGCCAGGCAGGGTGGGGAGGCAGGAACTGGGACGGCACGCAAGGCTGATGGGCTGGGAGCGGCAGAGGCTGACCCTGCAGCTGCTGGGCAGATGAGGAGAGGCAAGGAGGGGCATGTTGTGTGTGAGGTTACATCTTCTGGGGAGCAAGAGAAGAGCCCAAGTGAGAGGAGAAGCTGGCTGAGGAGGAGAGGCGGCTGTGGTGTCTTTCCCAGCTGCGGGGTGTCCAGGGCAGGTGTTGGCGACCCAGCCCTGTGGCAGGGAAAGAGCCCCGTTATTCTCGCCTTGAACTGCCGGCAGAGAGGACTTCAGCACCGGCTCAGTCCAGCTTTGAGGCGAAGAAGCCACAGAATTCTGGTCACAAAGGGGAAGGCCTGCGATTCCTGTTATGAACAAGGCCACCTGACATGCTAGTGAAGCTAGTGAAGCCTAGTGAAGCGGGGGCTGGTCTCACCGAACGCTTCAGGAACTGGGACTGCATCACATTTAACTCTTGCAGTACCAGCTTGCTTTCCAGGAATGGAGTAGGCTGCCACTGAAAGGGGCTTATTGAATATGACCCCCAGTTCCCACGCAGTCATTTTGAAGAGTGCTGCTGTCTGTTCCGTCCCACCAGGGGCAGAGTTTGCTGGTGGAGTGTGACCACTAGCTGGGGCATTCCCTGGTTAAACGGCTTCCATCCATGGCAAGTGGGCCAGTCACTACGGCAGGGCCCTGCTGGAGCCAACCTTAAAGCCAGTGGTGGGCGAGGTGGGGCATCAGTCGCTCAGTTCTGACCCAGAGAAGGCCTGCTAACTGAGGGTCTGGCGGCGGCATGTTGCGGTCTCTAAGACATGCTTGGCGCATTGTGGGCAAGGCTGAAGAAGGCACGCCCAGCCCCAGGAACACGCAGAAACTGATGCTTTCCCTTCACTAAAAAAAACTATCTGCCCTTCCTAAGCGCTCCTTGCCAGCTCTTTCTTTCCTGCCCACACATGGCCCTGAAGCCCGGCTGTCCCTGAGGGCCACGCCTGTGGCAGTGGAGGGCCAAGCACTCCCCTGGAGGAAGCCTGCGCTTCCTGCACTGGGTGGTGGCCCCTGGGCCTGGGCCTGCTGCCCCCCGCCCAGATCACTCCTTAGGTGGTCCCAGTGAGGCTGTGGGCAGGGGCTGGACCTGGGCCACTGGGGTGACACTTGTCTTAAGTGCTCCTTGTAGAGAAGGCCTCTGTGTACAGCAGCACTGGCGAAGAGGGTGGAAGGACACCCCTGCCTCTGTGAAGGCCTGGCCAAGGCATCCCTGCTGTGGCTCGCCTGGAAGCCCTACTGCTCCTTGGCACTGAGTGGACGGGACTGGCTGCAGGAAAGGCTGATGGTGCCAGCTGTGGTCAAGGCTGGAGCAGAAACAGCGGCTGATAAGGAGCCGGTTTCCCTGCAAGCCAAGGCAGAGCCAATTGCAGGCCGGTGTGAAGTGGGGAGCCAGGCAGGTACAGGGAGGAGCAGGCTGGACACCAGGCAGGCAGAAAAGGCCAGTCAGGTGACCAGAGCTGGAAGATCCACCAGAAACATAAAGGGGTCAGCCAGGCAGGAGAACAAAGGGAAGAGGAAATGGATGCTCAGGTCCATGCCTGAGCCTGTGGGATGTTTTCTGCCAGGGTGGAAACCAAGCCCTGGGGAGCGCCTGCAGGAGAACCAATGGCCTGAGAAGGTGCGTGATGTCATTTCAGCTGTGCCTAACTGAAGGCAGTTTCAAAGATGAAAATCTGATAAGAAAAAAATCCCTCTTGTGCTCCCTCCTGCTCATGTTCCCTTCTGCTCATGTTACAATAAAATCAATTGCTTCTTTGTAGCCCAGTGGGCCCCATCAGCATCCTGCCCCCTTCCCTGTGTGAAGGGCGTCTTTCCCAGCTGCTGTGCGGAAGCCAGGGCACCTCTCTCCCTCCCTGCCTCTGAGCCTTTGCACATGCTGTTCCTAGTGCCTGAAATGGCCTTCCTATCACCCAGCACCTGGTCCAGCCCTGAGTGCCCTCTGCAGAGTTGCATGCCCCCTTCTCTGTGTCCACAGAGCCTGGCGCCCCCTCCAGGACAGCCCTTTGCCTTCGCAGCAGTGGTCCCGGTGCACGTCACACTCCCGTGAGACTGCAGGCCCTAGAGGACAAGCTCCTGGTGTGCTTTTCCCCGTCCCCCAGGGCCTGCTCCCCAGAGGAATGATGGTACAACAGCAAACCTCAGCCAGGTTGGTGACCAGGGCAGGCGCCAGGACTCTCCAGTGTGGCCAGCAGTGTCGCCTGCTGGGGCCTCTGTGGACAGGCCACCTGCCTGGCTGCAAGTCGCACCACATTCATTAGCTTGCCTCTGCAGGGTAGCCTTGGCAGCAACCCTAACTCCATGGCAACCGTGAGCTGCTGGTCCCAGGGTACCTGGGCTTAAAAGTACGGACTCTGCCCAGACTAAAGACGACATAGCTAACAGCTGGGGCAGCCCTAATGACCCAGCAGGCTGCAGCCTGTCAGATTTGACCTGGATTTGTGGGTTTGGAGAGGCTATCCCTGGGCTCTCTGGAGGCCCATTGACAAAGTTCCAAAAGACACCAGAATGACCTCTAAGGAGCTGAGTGGGGTCAGTGGGAGGATCCCATAATGTAGACCTTTCCTTAGCTAAAAGAATCCTGGCAGCCAGGCGCGGTGGCTCACGCCTGTAATCCCAGCACTTTGGGAGGCCGAGGTGGGTGGATCACAAGGTCAGGAGATCGAGACCATCCTGGCTAACACGGTGAAACCCCATGTCTACTAAATATACAAAAAAAAACAAAAACAAAAACAAAAAATTAGCTGGGCATGGTGGCAGGCGCCTGTTATCCCAGCTACTCAGGAGGCTGAGGCAGGAGAATGGCGTGAACCTGGGAGGGGGAGCCTGCAGTGAGGGGAGATCGTGCCACTGTACTCCAGCCTGGGCGACAGAGCGAGACTCCGTCTCAAAAAAAAATAAAAAAAAGAATCCTGGCTGCCCAGAGCTTAGCCCTGGGGGTCACAAGCAAAGGGCTGAAGAAAGTATCAAGCAGACTGTTCCTCTTACAAGCCTCTATGGGGCCAGTTCTCCCGCAGGTCCTGGCAAGGGGCTGGACCCTGGTGGACACACTCAGGCCACGTGCCCATTCTGCTGAAAGCACCCCCTGAAAACGCATGGTGCACAGGGAAGGGCAGAGCCCCAGTTCTGGGGCAAGGCCGACAGAACCTGCTTAATCTTCTCTGGAAATTAACGGTGGCTATGGAACAACAGAAAAAGACTTGACTTGAAAGTCCCTGAGGATTTATCAGGAAACTTCCCTGCTCCTGGAGGGCTTACTATGCAATACACAGTGCAGGGAAGAGGGGGCTGGGTGGAGACACTGTGTTTTGAAACCAGACAGCCCTAGGCTCCTAACCTAGTGCTGCCAAATATTAGCTGCCTGACCTGGGGCAAACGACCCTGCCCCTCTCTGTGCCTCAGTTTCCCCCTCTGACCAGACTGTGTAAGACTCTGGCATACAGTGGGTCATTAGGTACCCGTCCCCCACCCAGCACGGCCTGTGAGGAACGCAGTCTGTCAACTGACCACAGGGCTCCCAGGCCATGCTGCACTGACTTAGGGGATCCCAAGGGGAGTGCAGCAGGGACTGTATACCCTTCCTCATGGTGTGCCCACCATCAAGCCGGGTTCAAGGACCCCGAGAGAGGCTTTCCCCAGCAGAGAGCCACCTAAACTGCAGGGGACCAAGGCAGGGCCAGGACACTCACTCTTTCCGTTGGTCAGCCAGTGAGCTGCCCCGTGTCAGCGCAAACATGTCAAACTCATCTTCCAGTCGACCAGAGGCCTCCAGAGACTGCAGGCCAGCTCTCACACTGCTGGAGCCCAGGTCTGCAGGGACAAAAAGGCCACCTGAAGGACCCATCCACATGCCGTCCTTGCATGCTGAGCTGCTGCTGAGCTGCCTGCTGCCAGGCCCAGGGCTTGGTGCTGGGGAAGCGGCATGTGGGTGGGGGAATGTGCGAGGCAAGCCACCTGCTGGCTGTGGGGCCTTGGGCAAGCGGCTTCCTCTTTCCAGCTTTAGTTTACTCACCCCTCCTGGGGCTGCTGTGAGCATCAGAGAACAGGCAAAATGCTAACCACTGATTCTGCTAGGGGAAGTGGCTGGGCAGGAGGACAGTAATCAGATGGGTAGTCCAATGTTTCCAAAAGTATAGCATTAGTGATTCAAAATGGGGTGCTAATGATTTCCTAGGGCTCGGCATGAAGCAGACAGTAAATTATATTAAAACCTATCACAGTGATAACAGTGACAATGGCCAGCTACTCAGCCAGAGTGCAACCTGGGCCTGGCACAGTCTAAGCGCTTCTTATACACGAGCTCCCTACTCCTGCTTCAGAGGAGGAAAGGGAGGCTCAGGAGGTTTAAGGAACCTGCCCAGGCTCACGCGGATCATGGAAGCCATGGAGCATTCAGTGTCGAGGGCCAGTCCTAGGATGGTGGGATTCTGAGACCCAAGGCGGCCCAGGACTTGTGCGGCTGCCAGGGGCAGTTACCCTGAGTGTCCCATCTTGCAGCAAGATTCAGCCTGGGACCCCAGCAAGGTGGGGTCTAGACTGACATTCTGCCGTGGGTGTATAACAAGGGCACCCCCAAAAACTGCAGGGGTGCCAACAGTACCATAATGTACCCTCAGCTGGAGCCCTCCAGACCACACTTACTCATTCCTGCCAGCTGGGATGAGAGGTTGCCGGTGGCTGCTGGCTCAGGGCCCATGTCGATCAGGTCAGCTGCCGGCTCAGCCTCACTTGGGGCCTAGTGGGAAGGGAGATGCCCTGATCATCTCCTCTGTCTGCAGCTTCGTTCCTTTCTGTCCCAAGCACTGGGGCCTGCAGGCTTTGCCCAAGGATCTGTCACCAGGGCTCCAGTAGCTAGGACTGGGCGTCAGGGGATTTCCTTCCTTCCCTCTGGCTCCAGCTTAACTGGACTCCCTGGGAGGCTGGGGAGACCCTTGGGCATCAGGTGGTGGCGGAGCCTTATTTACCTTAAAGGGACAGGGGCGTAAAAAGTTAAAAGGGGATTTCTCTCTAGGCCTGGATAAAACAGCACCACCCCGTCTGGTTTACTGGGGGAGGGAGTTGAGAACGACACTCCTTCCCATGAACGTGGCTTGATCTAGTCACAGAAAAGAAGCCTTTTACCTTGGTGGTCTGGCCTGTTCGGAACCGTTCAAACCTACAAGATAGAAAAGACATGAGTTATGGAGACAGACTGAGACAGGCCCCTGCCGCATGGCCAGGAAGAGCTCTTCAAACCGTGGGTCTCAACATCAACACACTGGGTTATGATCAGGGTGATGATACATCTGGTGTGTCCTGGATAGATCCAGTTCATGCCTGCTGTCCCTGGATAGCTAGCAGTGCTCCGCTTTCACTTGCAAAAGTGTCCCAATTTGGATGACCAATTATAAGGCAACCTTAGTCGTGAGTAGCATGAAACAAATAAATAGGAATAGGGACAGCAAAGAAAGCAAATAGAACAGCAAAGAAAATAGGAATGTATGGCACACAGTAAAGGTAAGGGCTGTTTCATGAAACTTGTTTCAATTACATATTTGTGTGTGTGTGGGTTAGTGGCTCTCTTCAGGGGTGTAAGAAAGATACATGTATCTCTAATCTTGCTTTCTGGAGCTACTTAGGGGTCAGTGAGGTAGATCGAGAAGACTTTATTCCGGGGTCTGTTCGAGTTGTGGCCTTGTCACTTATCACATGACCCTGGGTAAATTATGTTCCTTCTGAACTTTAGTCTCCTTGTCTAGAATCTGCAGGCACCTGCCTCCCAGAAGTGGTGAGGCCCAAATTAGGACATAGGTATAAGTGACTGCGAACTTGAAAGCACCGGCAGACATTAAGCCTAACGACTGTGGGTATCTGAGAGTACCAGCTGCTACCAGATGGGGCCCCTCAGTCACCTCACAGCCCAAACCCCAAAATGGCAGGGAAGAGGCCTTTCATTCCACTGGGCCAATGAGCAGGAAAAGCTAGGCAGATGTGACCTGCAGGGTACCCCCTACTCTCCACTGTTTTAGAATCAGTGAGTGTCTTTTGATGGAGAATGACACAAAAAATGAACAAGGGGCTGGAGGAGGCTGGAGTAACTTGTGTCATTTATTGGACACCCTGGACTGCTAAGTGCTTTATAGGCACTGTTCCACGGACTCTCAGTTATGCCACAAGCCTCATTTTATAGACACAGAGGAGGTGTGATGGGCACGCAGTTTCTGCAGACCCAGCAGTCCTTCTTCTCTTTCCTTTTTTCTTTTGAGAAGGAGTCTTGCTCTGTCACCTAGGCTGGAGTGCAGTGGTGCAATCTCGGCTCACTGCAACCTCTGCTTCCTGGGTTCAAGCAATTCTCCTGCCTCAGCCTCCCAAGTAGCTGAGATTACAGGTGCCCGCCACCATTAATCTTTTTTTGTATTTTTTTTGTATTTTTAGTAGAGATGGGGTTTCACCATGTTGGCCTGGCTGGTTGCAAACTCCTGACCTCAAGTGATCCTCCCGCCTCGGCCTCCCAGAGTGCTAGGATTACAGGTGTGAGCCGCTGTGCCCAGCCCTTCTCCTTCTTTTGTAATAGCACCCAAGTGCTCTTTAGACGAACTGCTCCTCCCCCATTTCACATCATCCCGGTGGGGTGCCATCTAAGGGCCCTCTCCCCCACCACAGCTGGTAGACACAATGAAGCTAAGCCAATCCAACTCACTCTTGGGGATGTGACTTTTGAACAGAATGATACATGGTGGGCAGGCGGGTGTGGTGGCTGATGCCTGTAATACCAATGCTTTGGGAGGCCAAGGAGGGAGAATTGCTTGAGGCCAAGAGTTGGAGACCAGCCTGGGCAACACAGTGAGACCCCTGTCTCTGTAAAACAACAAAAAGAAGAAAATAAATTTAGCCGGGTGTGGTGGTGCATGCCTGTAGTCCCAGCTACCTGGGAGACTGAGGTGGGAGGACTGCTTGAGCCCAGGAGGTTGAGGCTGCAGTGAGCTGTGATCATGCCACTGCACTCTAGCCTGGGTGACAGAGCAAGATCGTGCCTCAAAAAAAAAAAAAAAAAAAAGTGGGCAGATGTTTGTGAACAGGTGTTTGCGCTGATCCATTTATTGATGGCAGCACCCTGGGAACATGGTCCAGAAGTTTCTGCTCCTGAGACATTTGAGCTGCTCTGGGATCTGTCTTTCTTGCTCTATTGGGAGATGTCAGTGTCACTTTTCTCTGGATTCTGAAAGCTACCCATTTAATAAAGATTATTATCCTAACAAATTCTTTTTCTGCCTAAGTTAGCCGGAAATGTTTTGTGTAGCTTGCAGCAGTGAAGTCACTTGTCTAAGGCCCCAGACCCAGGAAGTGGTGGAGTAAGGACACACCAGGCCGGTCTGGCTGCAGGGCCACGCTCTCAGCTGTGACCTGTGACCATCCCCCAGGGCTGGACTTGGGCACAGGCAGCAGGGCTGACCCTTGCGGGGGATGCAGGGTGGGTGTAAGGACGGGCCCTCAAAAACATCCTGGAAGAAGAGAGCTGAGGCCACACGCCCCTAGGAGCCTGCCTTGTGTTTGAGAGGAGGACGAGAGAAGGCTCAGACAGTATGAGACCAGGAGAACAAGGCAGAAGGGAAGGGAGAAGGTTTGGGCAGTCGGCCAGAGGCCAGGGGAGGTGCTGGGGCTACCGTTCATGGCGCAGGAACACGTTGTTGAGATTGTCATTGACGATGAGCAGCTCCTCTGTCAGCTGCTCATTGGCGATCTGAGGGATGAGCTCCAGGACCCGCTGCTGCATGGCTCGGCACGTGCGGTTGAGCTCCTGCCAGGAAAGGAAGTGAGGCAACCACAGTCACGTGACTCAGAGTGAGGCCATCTCTCATGCACGGGCCTCCAGCCCCTGCACAAGCCTTGGAGGAGGGAGAGGTGTCCAAACTGGACTTCAAGGTTCCACGGAACAGCTTTTTGATCAGGCACACATGAACTTGAACTTCACTTCCAAGTGTTAGATGCTAAAATTTAATCCACAGGAAACCATCAACATGTCTAACTGTACTGCTGGTTTAACTTGGCTTCGTGCAGATTCCAGAATAAAGGTTGTGCCACCTTCTTTCCTTAGTCGGAAAAAACTGAGTCAGCAAAGGCTGACGTTGAACAAACTGCAACTTCTGGAAGTACGCTGTGATTTTTGCAACCAAAGCATACAAAATGAATTAGATGACTGCGACCATTAGCCACAAACCTCGATTTCGAATTTTTGCCTCACTTTTCTCACTGGCTGATTTTTTTGTCTTTTTAAATAAACTTTTAGCTTTGGAATAATTTCAGATTTTTCAGAAGAGATGCAAAGATAGTACCACAAGTTCCCATATACCCTTGACCCTGGCTTCCCCTTAGTCTGGCATTTGTCAAAACTGAGACATTAAAACTGATAAAATAGTATTAACTAAACTGCATACTTTATTCAGATTTCACTAGGTCCTTTGTTCTAGGATCCCACAGTGCATTTAGATATCACGTCACTGACTTTTAACCAGTAAGCATCATATTTAAACTTATGAAAAAGAAAAATATTGGCCAGGCCCAGTGGCTTATGCCTATAATCCCAGCACTTTGGGAGGCCGAGGCGGGTGGATCACCTGAGGTCAGGCGTTCAAGACCAGCCTGGCCAACAAGGTGAAACCCTGTGCCTACTAACAATACAAAAATCAGCCAGGTGTGGTCATGTATGCCTGTATCCCAGCTGCTTGGGAGGCTGAGGCAGGAGAATAGCTTGACCAAGAGGCAGAGGCTGCAGTGAGCCAAGATCGCACCCACTGCACTCCAGCCTGGGTGACAGAGCGAGACTTCGTCTCAAAAAAAAATAAAAAATAAAAAAAAAAAAACCATAGACATACGGGTTTTCATTTTTAAGATTGCTCAATTGTTTCTTCAGGTACCTGTCACCAGGTGAAGGTGCCTGGGTCAGGGCAGGTGCTTGGGTCCTGAGGTCCAGGGAGCTGCCCGGCATTGCCGACTGCGGCCTCACGCCAGCATGCCTTTCTCCTGGAGGCAACGCTGAGGCTAGGCACTGCCCAGTGTTTATTTTGGCTGTCATGTGGACCCTGTCCCCCGCCCCCTCCAAGGTCAGGCCTCTGGGATTTCCTCATTGCCCTTAGCACGGGGGCAGGGCGGGTCCTTTCAACATCCTGTGGGCTCCCCTCCTGCTCTCATGACTAAGCACAGGGTGGCTCTGCTTCTGCTTCCCTGCTGGCTCCTCTCAAGAGCAGAAGAGCAGCACTTGGAGCCAGGTTCAAATCGCAGCTCTGCTATTTACCAGCCATATAACCCTTGACGTGTTATCTGATCTCCCTATGCCTGTTTCCTGACCTGGAAAATGGGGGTGGTGAGGATTATGTGAGTGATGTGAACCAAGTGTCCACATACAGCTCGGGGCAGGGGAAGTGCCCAATGCATGGGAGCTGTCTCTGCGTCCACCTTGCTCAGCCTTCTGAGTCCCCAAACTGCTCACACCTCACGGCCTTGGCTTGGGGCGTACGAAGCTGCCTGCGCAGTCTTCTCTCTTCCGGAGCCCTTACTGGGTTTCAAGTTTGCGTATTCATTCGACTCTGAGGCTGCTCCTTTTCTCCCCACCCTGCACCACCAAGTGAGGACCCCTGCACAGTCGGCTCGGTCAGGCACACAGACACGGTGGCGAGGAAGACACAGTGCTGCCCTCAAGGAGTCTGAGGCCTGGTGGACGAGCAGCAGGAACTCACACAGTTACACAAAGCACTCTGTCCCCTCATGAATTCTGGTGACTCCTGGGCCTTGGGGATTCCTAGCTTTCTTGGTGCCTCTATGACCGACCTCCACGCGGAGGGTGCTTTTTGCCAAATTCAGTGCCCCTTCCGCTCCAGTGACCCCCAATCTGGGCTGGGGCCATGGCAATACCACGTGACACACGGGAGCACGCACCACTAGCTCCACCTGCCTCGGCTCCCCAAGACCAGTGGCTGGCGCATCTCAAGGCTGGCACCAGCCTCTCACACCTGCCTGCTGAGTCTCGGATTGTGAATGGTGGAAATCTCACCTTCCAGCTTTTTCTCAGGACCCCGTACTGGGTGCTTTACTCTGCGCCAGGGACAAGCCTGGGTGTTTTCCATGCAATGCCTTATTTAACTCTCACGTCAAACTTGTGCCATAAAGGCTATTGTTAGAGCAACCTTACAGATGAGGAAACTGAGGCAAGGGGGGGCTACTTTGTTCAAACCAGAAAGTGGTAGAGCTGTGGTCTGATTCCAATCTGATGGCGTCCAAAGTCCCTGGTGGTAACATGGCCCCAACTGTGACCAAGGAGTATGGAGTAAGCCATGAAGACCGTCATGAGGACTGGGAAAGAACGCACGTGGGCAACTGGGCAGGAGTCATCTGAGCCCCAGGGGGTGGTGCCATCTGCTCACCTGCAGCAGCTCCAGGTCTGCAGGCTCGACCTGAGTGGGGACCAGCTCCGTCAGCATCTCCGACATCACCCTCACGTTCCCACTCACCATCTCCAGCTCACTGCGCAGCTTCCCAATCTGAAACACACGGTTGGTCGTGATGAGAGAAGCCAGGGGTCTGGAGCCCATGTCACTCACAGGGACAGAACCCAGTACCACCAATCCTGGGTGCAGCACCAGGGAGTCCACCTCCTAGCAGACTCTCTAGGCAGCCTCCCTCCTGGCTCCCACAGTGACAGCCCTGCACTAGAGGCCTGCCCCACCCCTCCTACAGACCCCTCACAGAGGCGCTACCAACCGTGACCATCTCCACACCGGGGAGCCTGGTGCAGGGAGAAGCTGAAAGGAAATGAGCTGAGGGGGAATGAGCCACCAAGTGTGGCTGGAAGATTCCAGCATCTCCTGGGTCTAACACGGGAGCTAACGAGGCCCTGGAGGGTGGCTCCCCACTGGGGGAGGAGGGAGGCTGCAGGCCCTCTCTCTCTCTCCCCTTAGAGGACTGGGTTTCTGCCCTCTCTCCTCCTCGGAGGACTGGGATTCCGCCCTCTCTCTATCTCTTAGGAGGACTGGGCTTCTGCCCTCTTTCTCCTCCTAAAGGACTGGGATTTTGCCTTGTTTCTGTCTGTTTTGGTGTCTCACGCTCTTCTAAGGATAGTCCTTGCCGTGTCCCTCACCTTGAATATGAAACTCAGATTTAGCACTTGTTCCAAGGGATGTGGGCAGGTTTTCAATGGTCAAAGGGTTCCAAGGAGTTGGGCTTGGGGAAACATTTTCAATAAAGCTGTAGTCTCCTCAAAGAGGTTAGGTTGGGGAAGGCCATTGGTATAAGGATCTTATGCTGTGGGACCTTGTAGCATGTTTAATACCCTCATGCATACTGGGGATGCCCAGGAAAAGATCGATACGAAAGCGTCCAAGATTTATTTGACTGAAGAACCTTTTTACGTTTTGAGAAATGCTGGTACATTGTAAATCATGTGGCTGAGTTATAGTTGATTTCAGAGTGTCACTATATACATTCATGATTGTGATAGCAGCTACCATTTATAGACTACCTAATAAGTGCCAAGCATTGAACATATATTGCTAACTTAATTTTTTGCCATAGGTAGACATCAATACCCCTGCTTTTACAGACGAAGAAATGAAATGTAGAGACAAGTAGTATATCCACTATGGTTCATTGACACCTTCCAAAACCTGCAAAATGTTTGATCTATTTGGCTGACTTAATGAATACTCTTGGTATGAGTAAGTGGAAAAACTACTGATCACAAACCCCCTGCATCCAAATCAGACTTAATTACAAAGGAGCCTGGGAGTAACATCACTGCACACCTGATGTCTTCACATGTCCCAAGAGACAAAAGGGGACTCTTGAATTAAACAAAGATTAGTTTCGTTTAGCAAGCACCTTCTTGCATTAGGAGTAATTAGCGTCTTAATCCACACAGATGCTAGACTTCAGGCAACTGGTTAAAATCGTAACCGAGTGAGACAATTTTTTGGATCACAAGGTGCTTTTACAATTTTTTACACACTTTTAACCCATGCAGAAAAAAAAAGTGCAGCTCACTGTCAGCACTCATTTAATTTTACATAAACATGCTCTTTGAGGCTGAAGTAAACCTGACTATTTTCAACATGAAAATAAAACATAAAAACTGTTCTTGGAGTTATTTCTAAACAGAACTCATCTCCAATCCTAATGTAACAGAAATGTATATGATGTTACATTAGGATTAGAGACAAGAGTATCCTTGGGGTAAACAGGCAATGTGTTAATAATTTTGTCCAGTTAGCAACATTGTCTAGTAATATTTGTAACTCTGGGGGGTGATTTCACAACTTGCTAAGAGAAAACAAGTCACGGAAGTTTCTCTTCAAATAGGCTAGGGTTAGAATGAGTTCAAATGATACATAAAGCGGGTCCTGAGGACGCTTATTGGGAAAGTTAAGCTTCACTTTTTTTTCCATCATGCATCCGTGTCTTCCTCACCAGCACACTCAGCAGCTCCGCCTTTAAGCTGCACTGATGTGATGGGTCTGATGTGTGTACAACACCTCTAATGTGGGTGCTCCCACAGTGAGCAGGACTCTGTCCCCACCCCAGCAGCCAAAAGTCTAGAATGACAAGCCCCCAGCTCTATGAGTTGGTCATGGCTGTAGAAGTCACTCAGCAGATACAGCAGCCATGGCACTCCACAAGCAGCTCATGGCCCAGTGGGCAAATCGTCCCACCTCCAGCCACAGAAGGAAGGGAGATGCCCAGATTGCCTCAGTCAGGATGCCACCTGCTCTGAGGTGGGTAATCCTTCAAAGCTAGTCATAAGGCTGGGAGAATCTGTCCCTTAGAATCTCATACTAAGCCTCAAACCTTCTTGGCTGGGCGTGGTGGCTCATGCCTGTAATCCCAGGACTTTAGGAGGCCGAGATGAGTAGATCACTTGAGCTCAGGAATTCGAGACTAGCCTGGCCAACATGGTGAAACTCCATCTCTACTAAAAATACAAAAAATTAGACAGGCATGATGGCTCATGCCTGTAGTCCCACCTACTCAGGAGGCTGAGGCAGAATTGCTTGAACTTGGGAGGCAGAGATTGCAGTGAGCCTAGATCGTGCCACTGCACTCCAGCCTGGGTGGCAGAACAAGATTGTCTCAAAACAAACAAGAAAGTTTCAAACCTTCTTGAGACTTCATGGGAAGCAGCACAGTACAATGTTCATGTGTTTTTTATTTTTTGCACAGATGTTTTAAAACTTTTCAGGCAGAACCTCTGTTCAAATGAAGTCTTTTTTTTTTTTTTTTAAACAGGTCTATGTTGTCCAGCCTGGTCCCGAACTCCTGGGCTCAAGCCATCCTCCCGCCTGAACCTTTGAGAAGCTGAGATCACAGACACATGTGACTATGCTCAGCTCAAATGAAAGCTGTGAGTGTGTAAGAAACCACACAGGTGGAGCTGGCCTGGTTGAAGGGGCCGCCTACAGGACACCTCCTCTCCATGGTGCTGTCAGAGGGCCCCGCAGAAAACACAGGTTGGAAAATGGCCAAGGTACAGGGCAGTGCCTGCCAGGAGTCAGACAGGCGTGAGCTTGAATCCCAACTGTCTCCGATGACTGTGTGCTCCGGGCAAGTGAATGGACCTGTCTGAGCCTCATCGCTCAAACAGGAAGAATCACACATACCCTGTGGGCTGCTGTGAGGAAGAAGCGGAGGCTCCGTGGACGGTAAATTCTGACAGGGGGGCCCTCCCTGACGTGTGTGGCCCACCTGCCTGGACCTGACGGTTCTGACCCCAGGCTTGCGTACCTGCTCCGGCGTTGGTGCTATGGGTGTGTCGCCGGAGAGCATGGGCGGGGTGGGCAGAGGGGCAGTGTGCTGGCCAGAGTCCTCTTGCTGGCTGGCGTCAGAGCCCACAGAATCCTGTCCTGATTGTGTCTCTGAGTTGAACACGGTCTAGTGGGAGGAAAACAGAATCAGTGAGGGGTCCTGGGAACGTTAAGAGCCCAGGAAGTCAGGGGCCAGCCTGGTGATGTCTCTGGGGATGAGTCCTGCCTGCCTTCCCTCGGTTCCCGGTGCGGCAATTCTCTCACCCTCTGGGGTGTGTGGATGGGTGACAGCATGTCCAGGTCAGTCATGGGGAACTCCAGGCCTTTCCTCCGCAGGTCCTCATAGATGGTGACCACACCTGTCAGATCGGGCGAGCTGCGGAACGCGTCAGCCCAGGACTGAGGGGGAACAAGGGGACACAGCCTGTAACCACAGCTCACCTGTGAGCCTTCCCACCTGGCACCCAGAGAACAGACATTCTTTCCCTGATTTTTTCTTTTCTTTTCTTTTTTCTTTACTACATCTGCCCTGCCCACTCCACAGCAAAGCACACAGTTGGCAAGCCTCCCTCCCCACAGAACATCCCACCAGCAGACAACCGAGATACCGCGAAATGAGAAGTGGAGCCTGGGACAAACACGATGGCCTCGAGCTCTCCACTGGGCAGGAGGCTCCCGCGCTGACAGCTTTTCCTGGCGCTGCCCTGTCCTCGCACTCACCTGGATGAGGTTGAGCACCTTGTCATGCACAATGGTGGGTGGGTTGTTCTTGGGCAGGATGGTCCTCACCAGCACACTCTCCACGAAGTCCTGGCTGGCCACCAGCACGTGGAAGCGGTGCCCGCAGTTCTTGACACAGGTTTCTAAGACCTGGAGGGCGGAGAGGTGCCGTCAGGCACCCTTGTCAGAGGAGAGGCGGTGCCCAGGACCCCCACCTTTGTGGCTCCTCCTGTGTCCCAGAGGGGAGGTCCGGAAGAGGAGATGGGACTTCCTGGAGTGAGACCCTTGAATGTGGAGGACTGGGACAATGCCAGGAATGGGGGACTTGTTTACTGAAGGGCACGGCCTAGGGTGGGCAGCGGTGTGGTGTGTGGGCTGGACACACTTCCCTCCCTGACTGGCGCCAGTGCACACAGAATCCCAGTGCTGGCTCTGAGCTGAGCATGGTCTAGACAGAAGGGGCTCTCCAAGAGGAAATCAAGAATCTGAGATGTCAATTGACTGGTAAGCCTGCGGCCCAGGGAAAAGACACTGAACTTCCCTCCCCACTCTCCACTTCCCACTGCAGGAAGTGCCTTTGCTTTTCGCTTAAGCCAATTCACCTGGATATAAATGCTCCTTGTGGAGGAGGGTGGGACAGCGTTTATAGCTTCCCCAGCCAAACCCATGCTGACAGCTAGGAGGCCCACGCGTGTCTGGCCGTCCTGAGATCTGGGCTGGTTCAGTGGTGGGGGCAAGACTGTTCTCAGCCACTGGTATTTATTTTACATTCATTTTCCAGAGCACCAAAGTGCCGGGCAGCACCCAACTCAGTCTGCCAGCCTCCCTGCCCCCACGGAGGCCTGGGTTTACTGAGCTTCAATGTCACCCGCAGGTCCTTTGGCCCAGGCTCTCCCTGCCAGTGGTTCTGGAGTGATGAAAGCATCTGTTCCCATGCTGGGGGATCGGGGAGAACCTTTCCAAATGGCTTCTTGCCATTCTGCATCCGCCTGCGGTGTAGACAGGACAGTGTGTTGCCCACAGACCTTTCCTTTCCAGCACTCAAATGAGGAGCTCAGGGGAGGCTGGGAGTCCTGCTGGGCCTGAGGGGAGGTGACTTTCAGTGGACTGCAGTCCTGCCATGGGACGGACAGATGGGGCACTCACTGTGAGAGCCAGCATCACCTCGTGGAAGTTCTTATTTCCCACGATTCTCTTCTTTACTGCTCGGAGGGCATCTTTGGGACTAAGAAGAAGGACAAGAAAAAGGGTGGGCTTAGGAATAGAGCCCTCTTACCCAACAGCAGAGGCCCTGGAGAGTTGGAACAGCTCTTATTGGCCCATCCTCCCTGGGCCCCACCTGTTTGGTGTATCCAGTCAGGTTCTGATCACATCAGAATCTTCCTAGCCCATTGCTCAGCAGGGACTCACAACCTGTGGCCCCTGGACCTCCTGCAGCAGAGTCACTTTGAGAAAAGGTGAGAGTGTTTTGTTAAAAGTGCAGAACCTGGCCGGGCGCGGTGGCTCACGCCTATAATCCCAGGACTTTGGGAGGCTGAGGCAGGTGGATCACTTGAGGCCAGGAGTTCAAGACCAGCCTGGCCAACATGGCGAAACACTGTCCCTACTAAAAATACAAAAATTAGCTGGGCGTGGTGGTATGAGCCTGTAATCCCAGCTACTTGGGAGGTTGAGGCGGGAGAATCGCTTGAACCCAGGAGGCAGAGGTTGCAGTGAGCTGAGATTGCGCCACTGTACTCTAGCCTGGGCGACAGAGTGAGAGCCGAGATTACACCACTGTACTCCAGCCTGGGCGACAGAGTGAGAGCCGAGATCGCGCCACTGTACTCCAGCCTGGGCGACAGAGTGAGACGCTGTCTCAAAAAAACAAAAGACATTTAAAAAAAAAAAAAAAAAGCAGAACCCCAGGTCACCACACTATATACCACCTGAACCAAATTCTCAGGCAGTGGGGCCTCTGAATCTGAATGCTCTCATGCTCCCCAGGGGTTTCTTATGCATGCTCAAGTTCAAGAACAAAGAACCTGGAGGCATAGTGTTTTCATCACAAAAATAGAGACGGTGTCTTGCTATGTTGCCCAGGCTGGTCTCGAACTCCTGGGCTCAAATGATCCACCCATCTCGGCCTCCCAATGTGTTGGGATTACAGGCATGAGTCCCTGAGCCCAGCCAGCATAGTGTTCTGATGCCCTGTCCTGGCCAGCTGCTCTACCTGCCCATTTATCCTTCCATTCAAGTTTTTTTTTTTTTTTTCCTTCTGAGACAGACTCTCACTCCGTCGCCCAGGCTGGAGTGCAGTGGTGCAATCACAGCTCACTGCAGCCCGGAACTCCTGGGCTCAAGTGATCCTCTTGCCTCAGCCTCCTAAAATGCTGAGACTACCAGTGTGAGCCACCATGTCTGGCCCATTCAAGTCTTATTAAGCACCAATGCGTGCGTGACACCATGCTAGGTGCTGGGGAGACAGTGGCAAACGAGACCATATGGCCCTGCCTCCTCCCCACCTTGCGGGGAGACCCAAAGAAGAGCAGGGAATAAGCAGGTCCTGGAAAAAGAGCAGAGGTGAGGATGGGGGTGGTCAGAAAAGACCTCCGAGTTGGGCCTTGAAAGATGGGAAGGACCAGCTGTGGGGAGTGGGGGCAGAGCAGTTTGGGTCAAGGTCAGAGGCTGGACCAAGGTCTTGGGTGCAGAGGAGCTTGGTGCCTTGGAGGAACTAAGAGGAGGCCACATGAGTGTGGGGGAGGTCGGGGAGGGCTGAAGAAGCCTAGACGTCACGGTGGTGGGAGGCCCCTGGAAGCTGGGGTACCAGTCTGCTCTCCCTGTCCCCTCTGTGATTCCCACCACCCTCCACCCTCGGCCCTATACAGATATACTCAGTGCTGCACTGACTGCTCTTGTCTAAAAGCCTTTGTGGGCCCCCACCTGCACCCTGAAGGCTCCTGACCTCCACATCCACGAGGTGAAGCCTCAGCTAAAATCCACCCCATCCACGACACTTTCCCAGGTCCTCCAGTCTCCCTGGCTGTTCTGCCCTGCCACACTGAACTGGGGGCCGCCCTGGGTAGAGAAGAAGCCTGCTAGAGGGCAGGGATGGTGTTCTCTTTGGACAGCTTCCCCCTAGAGCCCAGCACGCTGCTGAAGCATAAGTAACATTTCCCAGCCTAGCCAGTGGCCACTGGGGCCCATCCTGTGTCTGCCTGGCCGTCAGTGCTGACCCCATCCAGGACTAAGGCAGGAGAGCCCGGAACCCTGGCACTGGTTCTCAGCAGGAGAAAAGGCAGAGGCAAGGCTTCCTAGGGACGGAGGCTGCCTGGGGGCTAGGGCTGTGGAGACGGTCAGACCTGCGGTGGAAGGGACATGGTGGGGAAAGGGATGGTGGCCCACCATGGGGGGTCCTGGCCCAGAAACCTGAGAGCAGTTTCCAATCCTTGCCTCCCTGGGCAGCCCTCACCCGTCCCTGGCTCCTGGTCTTGGCTTGGTCACTGACCCATGGGCTACTTCAGCGCTTTATAGGGACTTGTTTCCACCTCTTCTAGGGTGGCCTAGAGACAAGGGAACCAGACTCGTTCCCTGGCGTGATCTGCCGTGTGCCACTGACCTGGGGGCCCGCCCTGGGAGAGAAGCAGCCTCCTAGAGCGCAGGGACAGCATGCTTGTTGGACGCCTTCCCCACAGAGGGAAGCACTGGGAATCGGAAGTTCTGGCCTTGCCACTGCTGTGGGCCCATGATGTCCAGTACTCTGCTGGGAGCGTGTATGACAAGGAGGCCACAACCCAATGGGGGAGACACTTTAGTCATGAGGCTAAGTTTAGGTGCCATGCTTGGTGAGGTCAAGGGTCACACCTGCCTTTGACCACTGCTGGGTCCCTAGTGCCTCCTGTGGTGCCTGGAACACACAAGGTGCTCAAATAAACAGCAATGCACCTGAACGACGCTGAGCCCATCCCCCCATGTTTACAAGGGACATGGGGGCTTGCTGTCCCCAAGGATACTGCAGTGACTTGCAGCTGTGACGCCCATGAAGCTCCCAGGCCTGTCTAGAAGCTTGGTGAAGTTTTCTGCCTCCTGCTTCCTTTCTCCTGACCTCTGCCCACCACTCCTTCCCTCATGCTCACTCTCATGAGTCCTTGGCAAGACCAGGGAGCAGGGCTGAGGAAGACACCGGCAGGTTCCTGGCAGCCAATGCCCTCTCCTAACTGGGCCTTGACTGTGTGACTCAGATGCCCACAGCCTCCCTCCAGCTCAGAGCTGAGCATTCCCTGCCCTCCACCTGCGTCCGGCCTGCCCCTCTCCATGCAAAGCCCTCCCGGGCTGAGGAACCCTGCGCTGGCCACAGGACAGCTGGATGATCCCAGTGAGAACTGGAGAGGGAAAGGAGGGTCCACACCGATTTCTCAGGATGGAGGCCTCGCCTGGCAGCACTTCCTGCTGCCCATGGGCCCCACACCTCTCCCCATCCTTCACTGGGTTTTCCTGAGAGGACAGGGACCCTCACATCCCCTTTCTGTTCCCTCCAGGGACTCGGGCTTATTGCTGGAAGGATCCAACAGAGCACCTTTGAGGACAAAGACCTAGAGAGAGAGGTAAAGTGACTTCTGAAGGTCACATGTCAGGTCAGTGACAACAAGTCAGACATCGGAGGCCAAGACCCCAATCCCTCCCCCACACCACATGCCTTGGCAGGGCTCCTTGGCACTGAGCAAGAGGATACCATGACCCCAACACCAGAAATGCCTGGCAAATGCCAGTGCTGTTCAGGCTCACGGTTCAGCTTCACTTTCCCTGCCATCCTTGTGATCTCCCCTACACTCAAGGCTGGTTTCAAATCTTAAGGAAATGGAAGTCTGTTTTTGCTCACAGAAAAGCCGGAGTCTCTCTAGCGCATACTCCCGCCTGCAGAATGCAGATGGCGCTTGGGGTCAACTCTGATTGTAAGAGTCTCCAGCTTGCCTCATCCTGGGGAGATGCTGCACACAAGGCTGGGCTTCCAGATCCGTGTGGAATCTGTACTGCCACTGAGAGAGGCGGGATGGGGAGGCAGCCCTCGGGGGCCAGCTGTACTCCTGCTGTGAATGCCTTCCTCGGATGGTGCTCAGGTACTAGGGGCTCAGATGGCCTCTGCAGCCAAGCGGGGTGGGTCAGACTTGGCTATGGCAGCAATGGGGCTGGGGCAGGGGCTCCCTGGCAGGGTGCAGGTGTGTGCTGCGTGGTGGATGGCCGTCTCTGCCTGTGCCCCGCAACCTCTCCTTGGGGGGCCCTTACCCTTCCTCCGTCTCGTTGATGATGTCACAGATCTCCATGTTGAGAGCCCAGTCCTCGCTCTGCAGGGAGCCATCTGTGGCTTTCTCTGAGAAGAAACCATGAGTCATAAAGGCATGTGGGGGTCCTGAATGGGTAAACCCAAACCCTGGGTGGGAGGGGAGTGGGGTGCAGGGCCGGATGAGATGGGGAGGAGGAAGATGACAGACGCTTCGGGCACAGGGCCTGGCGCTGTGTGAGACTGCTCTACACACATCATCCCATCCTCACTAGATTTTTGTAGCCACTGAGGCTAGGAGTACCTCTGTCCTTCAACAGATGAGGAAACCATGGCTCTGAGTGTACCAAAGGGATGCGCCAGAGGGGAATCTAGGCGGGCCTCCGTGTGCTTGTTCCTGACATGATATAATATGGTGACAGTGCTTTGCTTCATTTCTGTAGATAAGACGTTCTCCCTTGACTTTGGAATTATCTTTTGAGCTGGGCGTGGTGGCCCATGCCTGTAATCCCAGCACTTTGGGAGGCTGAAGTAGGTGCATCACCTGAGGTTAGGATTTGAGACCAGCCTGACCAACATGGTGAAGCTCCGTCTTTACTAACTACAAAAAATTAGCCGGGCATAGTGGCACATGCCTGTAATTCTAGCTACTTGGGAGGCTGAGGCAGGAGAATCATTTGAACCCAGGAGGTGGAGGTTGCAATGAGCCGAGATTGAGCCATCGCACTCCAGCCTGAGCAACAAGAGCGAAACTCCATCTCCAAAACAAACAAACAAACAAAAGAATTATCTTTTGAGTTGGTAACCATTCACAGGATACAAAATCTAAAAGTTCTCAAGTGGTATACAATGCAGCTAGGTAAATCTATCTCTGCCTCTGCCCCTGCCCCAGCGCCCTCTTCCTAGAGGCATCCCCTGTAACCAGTTTCCTCTAGAATCTCACAGAGACCTTCTTTACCTAGGAAGCAAAGGCTCCATTACTAATAGGTCACCTTGCCCTCCTGTACCCTTCTGAGGCACCCACAGAAGGGACCGATGCCAAGCCACCCAGCAGAACTGCCCCAAAGAGAGGTGATGATTCATGCAAGGTATCAGCACGGTATGGGCCCAAAATAAACACTCAGCAAGTGGTGGTGGTTCTTTTTTAAAAAAGTTGAGGCGAAAGTCACATAAAATAAAACTAACCATTTTCCCGTGTATAATTCAGTGGCATTTGGTACATTTGTAATACTAAATACAACCACCACCACCCCTATTCAGTTCCAGAAAATTTTCACTTTGTGGCAGTTCCGAGGGTAAGATTTCCAGGCCGGGAGTCGGCTGCAGGGCTCTGGAAGCCCGTCAGGGCCACGGCCTGGACTGCGGGCTGCAGGTCCGCACGGTGGCAAGTACCGGGCTGGCAGCCTTTTGTAAACTGTAGCGTGGGAGACACCGATTGGTATGACATGAATGATGAACGCGGGAACTGGCAATGCCAGCACCTTTGTAAATGGTCTTCAGGAAAGGGAGGTGCCGCATGGCCTGTTTTTTGTTCTCTGCGCCTTCCTAGATGCCATCTTCACGCAGACCAGTTCAACCACGTGCACACAGGAAATGTGCCCTGTTTCTTGCAGGTACACGTTCTATTACGCACATCACTCTGGCTGGTATGTATTGTGACTACATGGAGGACTGTGTGATGAGACAGGCCTTGCTCAGCATTATAAGGGTGAGACCCTGTTCTGACGCAGGGACTACCCAAGGCTCTCTCCCCGGCAAGGGTCACATGCGGAGTACTCATCCACCTGCTGTCCTCTGCAGCCATCCTGCCGGCCTTGGCACACCTGCTGGCTGGCGGGCCTGGCACTTGGGCACAGTGCTGCTGGCTGTCTATTACCTATCAGGAGTGTGCGCCTGGGTAGGCATGTAGAACTTGTTATTCCACGTGATGTCATGCTGTCCTGCAAGGGAGGCTCTCCCCTCGCGGCTGTGCCCCAGCTCGGACAGGGTAGGTGACTCCTTGCTTGCTACACAGCTATTTGTAAGCCAGGCCGGTTCCAGGCACTGGGATGCCATGGTGGACACGGTGGACATGGTCCCTGCCTTAGGGTGCCCAAAAGAAGCTACAGGGCATGCCAAACCCAGTCTGTCGGAGGACAGACGAGGGCAGTTTTCGTGGGACTGGACAGGGCCCTCTTCTAGCCACGCTGGCTCACCCGACTCTAAAACTGTGGCTCTGAGACCTTGGTTTTGCAACTGGCCCAACTTCAGTTCCACCCTTAGGTCCTGAGCCAGAAGGATGCCAGGGTGGCCCAGGACACATGCCAGGCGGCTGAGGCAGAGGGCGGTAGCTTTACCCCCAGACCAGGCCTGGAGGAGGGGATGAGGAAGGCTCCTCTGACGGGGCTGAAAGACGGAGTCGTCCATCCTGCGAAGGTTTACTGGGTGTGGCTTCTTTATACCACACCCCTGCCCTTGGGGGTTCCACACTTAAAGAGCCACATGGGAAGAACAGAGTGGGCTGAACAAGTGTCCCTCTGAGCAGAGGGCCATGTCCTGCTTTGGAGGGTTTGGGGGCAGGGGTTAGTCATGTCAGCGTTAACCTACAGAACCTGCTCCTCTGCCACAGGCCACATCTCAGCGAGCCCCAGTCACATGGGCCAGAGGGTTAGTGTCATCTCCCTCCCCGCCCACATCTAAAGGCCACGAAGTCCTGCCAAGTCAGCTCCCAAATCTCTGTCCATCACACCATCCCCTTCTCACCACCCCTCTGCCACGGTCCCTGCCCCAGCCCGGCCACCATCCGCCCGCTAGACCACCGCCTCAGCTTCTTCCTTCCTCCTGCCTCCCTCCTCCCACCCATTCTCCACGCTGCCCAGAGGGAACTTTCTGAAACCTGAAAATGACAGTGTCCTTCCTGCCCAAATCCTTCCGCATCTCTCTAGTCTTCGGCCTGGCCTGCATGCCCTTCCACGATAATATTTTAACTTTCCAAGTTATATGCCGTAGAATATCAAGCAGCATTAGCTGTTCACATGAAGAATGAGATTCAATTTTCACACGCTGTAAGGTGTGCATTATTGCCCTCATCTCATGAGGAAACTGAAGCACAGAGAGGTCACCAACTTGTAAAGGGTACACAGAGGTAAGGGCGGGGCGGCCGCTGAGGCTGTGGCGCAGGTGCCTGAGGCATCTGTGCCATCCGCATCTCTCGGCGGGGGCGGGGAGCTCTGCTTTCCCAGAAGTGTCCTTCCCGACCACGCAGGCAGTCGGTGCTCTCCTCCCTGAGCTCCACTGGCAGGCCTCTCAGTGGTCCCCTCCATCAGATCCCCTTCTGTCCCTAGCACCCCCTGAAAACGATGGGCACCTCTCATCTCCTGGAGGAGAGAACATCAGTGTTTCAGGAGGGCTGTGGGTGTTTTGGAAAGGCAAGCAAGTGGCTTTTAAAGGGAAGCGGGGACATTGATAAATAAGAGAAATCTCATACCCAGGGATAAGGTGGGTGCAGAAAGACCTCCTCCCCTCCGCCCTGCCCTGGTGTGTGAGTCTGATGTGACCCAAGTAGCGCAGGCAAGCTCCTTAGCCCTGAGTGGTAGCAGGCAGCAGTGGGCAGAGCCAATGAGAAGATGGAGGTTTTCTGCGGGGTGGGAGGGGACATGTGGCCTAAAAGAGAAAGGGGAGAGAAAGAGGAGGAGGAGACAAAATTGGGACAAGGCCGATCTGTGCGCAGTACAAGACAGCTGTTGGGAGGCTGTGGGACACATCTGCCCAGACCATCACTTGCCAACCCCTTCTAGGTTCCTCCAGGTTCCTCCAGGTCCAGGTGTGGACTACAGAACCGGGGAGAATCATGGATTTCCTTCAGATGCCCACAGGGTAGGCATATTCCATCAGGGCAGAATTTTAAACCCACAGGAACCTGGCAATATTTGCTTTGTTTTTGTTCTTAACCACAGAAGTAATTCAGCTTGCTATTTTAAGAAGGGGGAATAAAAATACTGACAGTGGTTACCAGTTACCAAGAGAATGACAACTGATTCCCTGACCTCGGAGCTGTTGGCAATAAACTTCAAGGGCCTCTGGGTAGCAGCCGTGCTCTTGTCTTCCAGCTCCTGTCAGAGCCGGGCCCTGCAATCCTCCACCTTTCATCAGGCGGCTTTGCGGTTGTCTATGGCTGGCAAGTCTGTGGCTTTGGATCACTGGGCACCTGTGCATCTGTACGGCAGTCTGTCCTCTCCCTGTTGGGCCTGGTGCAGATACCACCTCCCTGGAGGGCTCCAGATAACCTGCCTGGCATGATGGCAAGACCCACTTGTCCCTCATGGAGATGAGGATGGAGTGGGATGAGTCTGGCCTGACCTAACTCAGAGACCATGGGCAAAGATCCAGCCCTTGAGTCTGTTTTTGCACCCATAAAATCAGGGTAAGACTGACTGCCTGCTTCACAGAATGTTATGACCTTGCAGCCAGACAATGTCAGTATGACATCAGGAAAGGCTAGCAATGAGTAACCGAGCTACAATGACTATGATTTGGGCCAAGAGACAGAATGAGCTCACAGACTCCTGGGGGAGAGAGAGAGATGTGGAAACAAAGAAATCGCCCAACGGACCAAAGACACGCCACACCACAGGCAGCATCAGAGATGGGGGCCATGATATGGTATCACCCCTTTCTTTCTTTCTTCTTTTTGGGAGACAGTCTTGTTCTGTCACCCAGGTTGGAGAACAGCAGCATGATCTTGGCTCAGTGCAACCTCTGCCTCCCGGGTTTAAGCGATTCTCTTGCCTCAGCCTCCTGAGTAGCTGGGTTACAGGTACCTGCCAACACAGCTGGCTAAGTTTTGTATTTTTAGTAGAGATGGGGTTTCACCATGCTGGCCATGCTGGTCTCGAACTCCTGACCTCAAGGGATCTGCCCGCCTCGGCCTCCCAAAGTGCTGGGATTACAGGCATGAGCCACCATGCCCGGCTCTTTCTTTTTTTGGGAGACAGTCTTGTTCTGTTACCCAGGTTGGAGTACAGCGGCACGATCTTGGCTCACTGCAACCTCTGCCTTCTGGGTTTAAGTGATTCTCCTGCCTCAGTCTCCCGAGTAGCTCGATTACAGGT